CCATCCCCCTCCCCGTTCCGCCCCTCACCCGCGGCCGAGGGCAGGCTCAGCCCCAGCAGGGCTCCGAAGGAGGCGTCGGCCCCGCCCTCCTCCTGCTCAGGCCCCGCCCCCAGCCCCGCCTCTGGGGGGCGGGGCCACAGGTTCCCTGGTGTGGGACAGCAGGTTAGGCCACGCCCACAGCCCCTCCCAATGACCTAGGGGTGACCCCACCCCACGTGACCCCTCCATGACCTCAGGGTGACCCCCAAAGTCCCCATCCCCCACCCCATGACCCTGGGGTGACCCCACCCCCCGTGACCCCTCTGTGACCCCTCCCTGACCCTCTGTGACCCCGCCCCTAAATTGGCCCGGAGGGGTGTGGTCACCACCTCACTGTGGGTGTGTCCCGCGATAGCCACGCCCACCCTCCCCCTCCCCCAGCCCAGGAGGTGGAGCCACACCGCCCCTGTGGGCGTGTCTTCCCGCGGCCCCGCCCCCTCGGACTCACGTGCCAGGAGGCGCGCGCTGGGCCCGGGCACGGCGGGCAGCGCCCCCTGCTGGCCGGGAGGACCGCGGGAGGCGTTGGGGGGCGCGGGGGGGGCGCAGGGCAGGAGGGGGTCCCCGGGCCGGGGGAGAAGGCACAGCCTGGGGGGGAGCGCAGCGTCAGCCGGGCGGCTCATCAGCATCTCATTAGCATCTCATCAGCACGGGGCGGGGCCAGCACTCACGCGTGGGCGGGGTCGCGGAGCAGGGCGTGGCGCAGGGACCCCGCCTGCAGCGCCAGCAGCGCCAGCAGCAGCCCCGCGGGGCCCAGGGGCGCGGCCAGAGCGCGCACGCGGGGCGGGGCCAGAGACCCCGCCCCCAGCAGCGCCAGAAGCCCCGCCCCATAGCCACGCCCGTTGTTGAGGCGGCCCCAGCGGCCACGCCCCGGAAGCACCGCCCAGCCGGGGATCAGGTACACCTGGGGGAGGGGACACGGTGGTGACAGGCTCCGCCCACCCACCCACCCATAAGGGGAAGCCACGCCCATTGCCCCGCCCATCCATTAGCCCCGCCCCGTTTCTCACCAGCAGCAGCTCGGCCCCGCCCATCCCTCAGCCCCGCCCCGTTTCTCACCAGCAGCAGCTCGGCCCCGCCCAGCGCCGCGGCCGCGCAGGTGAAGGCGGCGCTCAGGAAGCCGCAGACCCCCACGGCCCCCCCGGCCTCGGGGCCCAGCGCCCCCGACAGCAGCGACAGCGCCCCGCCCCCTGTGACGTCAGAGGGCGGGGTCAGCGCGGGCACGCCCAGGGGTGGCGGGGCGGGGCCGCCCCTCCCCCAGCTCACCGGGGTCCAGCCCGTTGGTGGCCACGGCGCTGAGCGACACGGCGGTCAGCAGCATCTGCGGGGACACCGGCCGGACGGACAGTGAGCGGGGACAGGGACCAGGGACCGCTGAGCACTGACCACTGAGCAGGGACCCCTCTGACCGCTGACCACTGACCGCTGAGCAGGGACCGCTGACCGCTGACCACTGAGCAGTGACCGCTCTGACCGCTGACCACTGACCAGTGACCACTGACCACTGACCAGTGACCCCTCTGACCACTGACCCCTCTGACTGACCAGTGACCACTGACCACTGACCAGAACCCACTGACCACTGACCGCTGACCACTGACCGCTGACCCCGTGACCCCGCTGACTGCTAACCACCGACTGCTGACCAATGCCCCTGACCTCTGAGACCACTGACCCACTGACCTCTGACCCCTGTGACCACCCCCCAGAGAGTACCCAGAACATGACCCCAACCCCCGGTGTCCCCAGGTGTGTCCCCGCGTCCCCAGGTGTCCCCAGGTGTCCCCGTGTCCCCGGTGACTCACGCAGGCCCCCAGGAGCAGCCCGATGGCCGCTGTCCCCAGGACAGCTGTGACACAGGTACCCCCCAGGTGTCCCAGCTGTCCCCAGGTGTCCCCAGGTGCCCCCCCAGATGTCCCTGGTGTCCCCAGGTGTCCCCAGGTGTCCCCAGTGTCCCCAGGTGTCCCCGGTGTCCCCAGCTGTCCCCAGTGTCACTCACTGGGCTGGCACAGTCGCTGTCGGGGCTCAGCGCGCGGTACAGGTACCACCCAGGTGCCCCCCCAGCTGTCCCTAGATGTGTCCCCAGCTGTCCCTAGATGTGTCCCAGCTATCCCCGGTGTCCCCGGTGTCACTCACCGGGCTGGCGCAGTCGCTGTCGGGGCTCAGCGCGCTGTACGGGGCCATCCTGCGCAGCAGCGCCGGCACGCGGGGACGCGTGGCCAGCTCCTCCTGCGGGGGGGCGGGGTCAGGGGCGGGGCCAGGGGCGGGGCTAAGGAGGGTGGGGCTCAGGGTTGGGTCAGTGGCAGGGCTGAG